ATTCTTGCCATGTCTTCTGCCAAAACCAGGAACAAGATTCGCACGGTTAAAAGTTATGTGTACTGATACAGGACGCAGCCAGCCACTGCCTTCTTCAGAGAAAAGGAATCCACTTGCTCTTGTTTTGGATGTTCCTCGAAATATTTGGAGGCAAACATTACGTCCATTGAGTGATTTTGGGTTTGGCAGAAGAAGCATTTGGGAAGGTGGGGTGGGGTTGTTTTTTGTCTCAGGTACTGTGCTTCTTGCAATTAGTTTGGCTTGGTTGAGGGGGTTTCAGATGCGCTCCAAGTTCAGGAAGTATCAGGCTGTGTTTGAATTTGCTCAGGCATGTGGTATTTGCACTGGAACACCAGTAAGGATTAGAGGTGTGACTGTTGGCAATGTTGTCCGTGTTAATCCCTCATTGAAAAGTATTGAAGCAGTTGCTGAGGTGCATTTCTCTTCTAAGTGTTATGATTTGATTATTCAAGTACATTTCATTTTTATTCTCTTTCACTGTGTGCTCACATTTATCTTTTTCCTTCATAGGTTGAAGATGATAAGATAATTATACCTCGAAATTCACTAGTTGAAGTGAACCAGTCTGGTCTTTTGATGGAAACTTTAATAGACATTACACCTCAGGATCCCATTCCAACACCTTCAGTGGGGCCCTTGGATGCAGACTGCATTAAGGAAGGTCTAATTGTATGCGATAGGCAAAAGATAAAGGGACATCAAGGTGTGAGTTTGGATGCATTGGTGGGTATAGTCACCCGTCTTGCTCGTCAAATGGACGAAATTGGTATTGCCAACACATACTCACTTGCTGAGAGAGTTTCTGCTGTTATTCAGGAGGCAAAGCCACTGCTTTTGAAGGTCTGATCTGCCCTTCTTTCAGTCTCTTATGTTTGATTGATGAGACTCCATTGTTGAAATCTCAGTTAAGCCTTGAAGGATTGAACCCATTGAAAATGGGTTAGCTGTATAATCCCTCCTAGCCTCCTAGGATTACCTCATGGAAATTGCTAGTTATGTTTTTCAAAAGTAGCAAAAACTTTCTCAAAGTATTATTAATAAAATCAGTGAATTGAATCTTGACTTTGAAGAATTTTAGTAAGACATCTTTTTTCTGCTGATGATCAGTGGAGTATCCATGTTTTACAGTTAGCCCTAGTTCATTTCCTTTTATGAATAACTTTCTAATATCAATGTGTTCTTTTAATTAAGCATGGTTTTTTAAGCATTTGATACTGGTTTGGATTTTCTTTGATTATCATATACCCATAATGGTTTATGCAACATCATCAACCCTTAGGGTTCTCTGCTTTCTGTTAATACATCTTACTGGTCAAAGCTTTACACTTTAGCATGGTTATTTTTATCCACTATAGCGTACATTTCTAATCAAGTTTTCTGAGTATTTTAACCATTCAATGTCAGATAAGAAATTATGGACAATTAAAGAAACCCTTTGAAGTCTGAATTGATCTTTTTGTATTCTTGACATTCTGATGTTGACATTCTGTCTAATGGAGCTAGATATCATTTTCCCTGCATATTTATAACTTCTCATGGTCAAAGTTTTGAATTTGATGTAGTGACGTTTCAGATGGAAGCTATGGCTGAGGATGTTCAACCTTTGTTAGCTGAGGTTCGTGACAGTGGTCTGCTCAAGGAAGTAGAAAATCTAACAAGAAGCCTAACACAAGCCTCAGAGGATTTGAGGTAAATTGCTCTTTTCCTTTTTCTTATCTATTGAATCGTATGTAAATGATATAGGTTTTCTGGTAGTTTAAAAAATATATATTTGATAGGGTGAAGCTTCAGTTTCTGCATTCCTTCAAATTTGAGCATGCATACTCCATATTTTTTATTTTTAGCTGGGCTTGGGGATTGGGACTTCCTCAACCTCTTCCTCTAGATTTGTCCGGTCATTGGATTTAGGAAGATGATCTTGAACTAAACATTTTGCTATGTGAAGGATCTGGCTTTTTTTAGTCAGCCAAGTCTTATCTGACCCTCCTAGGTAGTTAGGTCTAGTTCTTTGCTCTAGAGCCAGCTAAGTTGGACCAAATTGGGTATTCATAATTCTGCTTTCAATTACGCTCATTTTTGTCATTTCCTGCCTTTTTCATGTTTGTAGCCTAATAACAGTTAATGATTCCTTTTTCGCAGAAGGGTGCATTCATCCATTATGACCCCTGAAAACACTGAATTGATTCAAAAATCTATATATACTCTGATTTTCACTTTGCAGAATATTGAGGTAAGATTCTTACTGCCCACTTTACTCATTACATTTAAAAGAAATCACCCATAGTTAAATTTTAGTCTGACCGTTGCCTTGTCTTTCGCCCATCCCCAATTTCAGAATATAAGTTCCGATATATTGGGATTCACTGGTGATGAGGCTACAAGAAAGAATCTTAAATTGCTTATCAAGTCCCTCAGCAGGCTACTGTGAAGACAAAGAAAAAACTTTTGTTGCATTTGATTAGGCAGTCCAATGAGTTTATGTTTCATATTTTTTAGGTGGGAGAAACTGGGGCAGGGTTTCCGATGAGCACTCCCTGTTTTTGTATGCAATGACTGGATAAGTGGTGGTTGTTACATTACAATAATTTCTCAGAGAAATGTGAAGATTAAATTTTGCTGCGTCTAATTTACTTTGCTACCTCTGCTAAATTCAGTGGCAATTGCAATGCTATATATAATTGTAAGTTTATAAACTTGTCATTAAAAGAATAAATATATACAATAATACTGGTGAGTTTTTGAATTAAATAAGTCAATTCTATATGACAGTCAATATTATAAACTCATTGACATAATATCTATATGGTTTTTAAAAATTACACCCTAATCACATGCTCCTCCCTCTCCAATCTAACCCTCTAATGCCTAGAAACATAAAACCTCCATCATCAGAAAGATTCCACGTGTATAATATGACTAAATAATTCACGTGTTAAAAAAGACAACATTTTGTTGGAATTTTATTTTATTTTCTGTTTTTTATTAAGATATTCAGATTACTATTCAAGCTTGGATGTTATAATACCAAAGGAGTAGATGTAATATGTATATGAATAACGATAGTTAAGATTAATTTTTAAAACTAAATTTTAGAATGAATTTATTAATTATAAATAGGGATTGGCAATTTTCTCTGAAATCTGCAAAGTTCAGCGAAGATTCTAGCCTGTGATGATGGAGATTTCAAGACCATATTTTTTCGTGGGATAGGAATGGAGGCTTTTTTTCCCTATGAAATTTCATGAAAAATTTCCTCCACCTCATGAAGATTGGTGGGATCCATATACAATAATGGTGGGATCCATATACAATAAAAAAAATTTTCTCATATAAATTTTTGTAAATATATCATCAATTAATTTTTATTCACCTAATATAATTGACTAATCCAACCTACCGTAAATTGCCCCACCTAATTCTTTTTTCAATTCTAGTTTTCCCAAACTCAATTCAATAACTCAAACCAACCTAGACATGTATGATAGTTCATGTAATTTTTTTTATAAACCTGCTGCTAAACTTATTGAACGTGTATGACAATTTGTATTTATTGCAATTGGTTACTAAATATTGCTTTGTTGCACTATATGGTAATATATTTATTTATTTGAGTTGTTTTAAATTTTATTTTTTTATTTATTAAGAAAAAAGAGAGGATAAATTCTATATATTTAATACTTGGTGGAAACTCCAAATAACTACGGAGCCCTATTATTCCCTCTAGGTATGAGGATGGAGATCATTTTTGATCCCTCGCAAAAAATCTCTATAGAGATCCTCGTACCCGTTATTGGCAATGATGGGAATGGGAATGGGTCCTTGCTCCTATGGGGACTTGTGGCCATCCTAATTATAAAGTGATTCTCATATATAGATTCATATAACTAATGATTGAAATAATTTAATTTTAAAATTTAATTTTAAAATTTAATTTTAAGAATCACTACTTTAGGTATATTATTAAGCCTACTGTAAGATTATATGATCATTGTCAATTACATTGATCTGGATCTAATAAAAATTTCTGATAGAATAATTTTTTGCCTTTCGTTTCGTTTCCTAC